GGGCAGCGATCTCAAAGGCACAGCCACCACGCCCTCCCTGACCAACTGATACCCAACCGCTCCGCTCTACTCTTACCTTCCGCCCTGTTTTTGCGTGGTGCAGCGTGTCCCTATTTCGCCGCGCGGTCAATCGGCAAGAAGGCCGACCTGGTCTTCTGTCCCTACAATCACCTCATCGATCCCGGTACGGCAATCGTGGTGGCAGATCGTCTTGCCGGTGTGGTGCCTGAATTTTAGCCCTTGGTGATGTAATGATAGGGGTACGGGGCACCTACGGGATAGAGTTGGAAGGCAACGTGGTCATCCTTGACGAAGCACAGTGCGTCTCTCCTTTCGCTAATCATTATTGTGATAGTCACGGCTTATGTGCATTCCTCCTCATCTCGCAGTAACATCGAAGATGCCTGTCGGAATGCAGCTAGTGTTGAAGTCTCATACACGGACATAAAAGGTGCCACTCATTGCCACTTGCAGGCCAGCGCTAGCGGTAATGATAACGCGCGTATCTTGTGGCTGTCAGACACCGCTGCGGTGCTGGCCTCCATCATTCAGGGCACCAAGAACGAGGAGGCTCTTGAGAATCACAGGCTCGTGTACAAGGTCAGTACGCTGCAGTACAGCGCAGAGCAAGCAAACTGACCAACTTTGTAACTCCACGCAACAGTTGCTCCACGAATGGGAGCTTTGGATTGCCAAGACCACTCCGACGCTCGAGCAAAAGGCGTTTGAGACCAACGTCAAGGTGTTCAGCGGGCGAGACAAGCTGGCTCTGCTCAAGTACCACCACTTGCCACAGCGGGTTCTTGACGGCAATTGTGTTGTGACACCAACCGTCGCGCAGTGAGATGGGACTGACGGCCGACAACTACGAAGCGCACCACACGGCAATGGAGAGCGTGCTCCAGTACTCGGCCGAGGCCAAGGAGGGCCAGGACAAGCTGAACGCCAAGGGGACCACGGTGGTCCAGAGTACGGCCCACATGGCGCTTCATCTGCACACGCGTATCTTGCTTGCCCACTGGAATGCCGTTGGTGTCGTCGTGTGGCAGGTTTGTTCAAGCTCTGGAAGTTCTTCTTCTTGCACAACGGCAGGTTCATGGACGACTACAGACTCGTGCTGCAGCAAACCTCGCAGAGGGACAAGGAACGTCAAACCAGCTTTTGGGTGCGAACGACCACTTTACATTGTTTTTGTTACCCATCGGAGTGCCGCTCACCGTCCCTGTCTACGCTCAGGTGCAAACGCTGTGCGTGTGGTGCCTGAACCCGGCGGTGGCCTTCACCGCCTTGGCCGACCAGGCACGCACGGTGGTATTGACCTCGGGAACGCTCGCTCCCATCGAGACGCTGCGCACCGAGCTGGGCGCTGCCTTCCCGATCCACCTGGAGGCGAAGCACGTCATCGACGTGGAGAAGCAGCTCTGGGTGGGTACCATCCCCCGCGGCAGATCGAACGTTGCCTTCAACGCCGTGTTCAAGAACGCCGACACCTTCTCCTTTCAAGGTACGCCTTCACGAATGCCTGCTACGAAGACGCACTGGTGACTAAAGAACAGACACATCTGTTTTCTTGTTGCCTGCAGACGACATCGGCGAGGCCATTGTCGATTGCTGCCGCGTGATTCCGCACGGGGTGCTCTGCTTCTTTCCGTCGTACGGGCTGCTGGAGCGAGTCGTCGAGCGGTGGCGCGCCACCCAGCTGTGGGATCGCCTATGTTCTGTCAAGCAGGTGTTCATCGGTGCGACACACACACACACACTCACGCACACATGCACCACACACAACATTGGTATGAATCATTATTCATTCATTCATTTGATGAACAGAGCCGCGGCAGAAGGGGCAAGGCGACTTCGACACGCTCATCAAGCGCTACTACGCTGTCATCAAGCGCGGTAGCGGGGGTCCTCCTTCTGGACCGGCGCCCGCATCGAATGACGCACCACCGCCTATGGCGCATTCACTGCGAGGACGACGCGAGCGCGCGAAAAGTGCTCGAAACGAAGAAGCGGACGACCAGGCAACCGCCACGAATGGTAACGCCATCCTCCATTCCCGTCGAATGTCAACCGTACTTACCTATCTGCGTTCTTCTTCGGAGCAATCTACGAAAAGGGGCGCTCTTCCTCGCGGTCTACAGAGGCAAGGTCAGCGAGGGGATCGACTTTTCAGATGACAACGCTCGTGGAGTCGTATCCTTTTCACCCCCTTACACCTCCCAATCGCTCTCTCTCTCGTGCGTGTGTCGCCCGTGCGTGTGTGCGTGTGTGCGTGTGTGGTATGATCTTGACTCTAGAAACGATCGCGGTCGGCATTCCGTTCCCCAATCTGTGCGTTCCCTCCTCGACCCATAGCGGCCAGTGCACGGGTGACTGACTCGTCACTTGGGTGGGGGGCTGTGTCACTGCAGGAAAGACCCTCAGATGAAGCTGAAGCGCGAGTACAACGAAATGCACTCTCGCGGAAGGAAAGCGACCATCAACGGCAGTCGGTGCATACACACACGCAATCACACACGCGCCGCCCTCCTGCCCCGCTCTGCTGCTGCTCGCCTAGCTGGTTCACACGCCCGCGCCACACACGTGCAGGTGGTACGAACTCCAGGCCTGGCGGGCCGTCAACCAGGCCATCGGCCGGTGCATTCGACACCGACACGACTACGGCGCCATCGTGTTTTTAGGTGCGTTCTCTCTCGTTGAACCACCTTAAGTTTTTTATAATGAAGCAAAGGCTCACCTCGCCATCGACAGAGGAGCGGATGCAGCGCAGTGAATCGGTGGCGATGCTGCCGCGGTGGGTGGTGCAGGGCATGACCCACTTCGACACGCTGCCCGACTCCCTCGCCTCGCTCCGCGACTTTTTCCGGTCCGCGCGTGATCGACCACCACCGCCTCCTGGCGCCGCCGCCACCACTCCGTGCAAAGAAGAAGAGCACCCGATCTCGCCGTCTTCTTCGCTGACGCGCTCGCCCTCTCTGTCCGCCCCGAGCTGGCCACGCCAGCGGACTCCATCGCCGTCGCCATCGCCGCCGCCCTCGGGATTCTCGCTCAAGCGGACCACGTCGGCGCCCTACTTCCCGTCTTCCTCGCCTTCTGCCTCACAGCCACCACCGCGCCCCTCGGGACAGTCGAGCGACTACAACGCGGGCGACGGCCATTCGCCCCTGTCGCCCATCCCACTCTCGCCGCCCCTTCGCCGACCACTTGGGCACGCGTCGTCCTCGCCCTCCCTTTCCACTCTTTCGCCGTCCCAGCCGCGCGGCTCTCCCTCCCTTTCCTCTCTGTCGTCGCCATCGCAAGTGAGAGCCGACTCGAGCTCGCCCTCGTTCTCGCCCACGCCGCTTACATCTTCCCCTCACTCGTCTCAACCGGCGTCTTCCACTACGTCGTCGTCGTCGTCGTCATCGTCGCCAGTGCTGTGCTGCAATGTGTGCTCCTCCCCGCTGGCCTACCAGCAGGGAGCGCAAGAGCAGACCACCAAGCAGTACTTCTGGTGCGTCCTGCGCCCTCTCACCACAGCGAACGCGGGACTGACTTGGATCGGACGGGCGCGCAGCAAGCTGGTGAGCCACAGCGTGCGAGGGACGCCGCACAGTCAGCCGTGGGAGGTGCCCCTCTACCGCTTGGGCACGGCCGACCTCATCCGCGAGAACTGCCGCGCGCTGACGGAGGACGAGGTGGCCACTCTCAAGCCCGACATGCCCGCCACTTCTTCCTCCAGCGCCGCGACTCCCGGCGAGCAGCGCTCACGGCCGCCCGCGGGAGGCACCGGCGCAGCGATGAAGACCATCTGGGCCACCACCGACGGGCTCGTCTACGTTCCTCTCTTCTGCTGTCGGTACTTGGCGATCTCTCTTCAATCCCCATCGTTGACACCGCTCCACCTGATCTGATCTTCATCTCCTACTGCCCCTGCTTGGGTGTACAGGTGCAGGCCGCCACGTTGGGTGGGCGTGGTCGTGAAAGCGGCATCGGGTGCCGGCAATCGGGAGTTCTTGCGACAGGTGTGGCTTGCCAGTGAGGCTGCCTCTCCCCTCTCCTTCCTATTGGATTGATAAGATAAATGGGCGGCCCCAATACGCCGCTGGTTTTCCCGTGTGCCTAGTGAAAGGGGGGTGGTGGGGCGGTCCGACTGCTCTGGGACATGGCGCAAGAGTGGTATTTCTTAAAATGTTCTTTCAGAAGGGCAAGCGAAATGGGGGGGGGGGAATAACTACACGGCCACGGAGAGGTTCTGCTTCCTCTTGGCGTTGGACATGAAGGGCTTCAGCACCCACTCGTTGTCCGCCTCCGTCATGTCTGTTTGTTTGCGAGCAGCAGGTACACACACCACACACATGAAGTGTGAGCCAATGTATACCCTGTACGGGCAGAGCGGAACGAAAAGAAGAAGAAGAAAGAGAAGGAGAAGGAGTGCGTACCGACGGTGCCCAGCTTGATTTGGTAGAGCTTGAGTTCGAATCGTGGGCCGACCTCGGTCAGCTCGACGTTCTTGTGTCCCTCCTTCTTGTATGTGTGGTGCCGGAACGAGATGAAGTCGTTCTCGTTGGCAAAGGTGATCACTCGGTGGGCGTCCTCCTTGGGCACGGGGAACAGGTGCTTCAGGACCTTCATCGTCTGTAGTCACACACATACAAAGAAGAGAATCGATTCATCAACGATGAGCACCTTCTTGCCGACCAGGCCGTGCTGGTTGTGAGGGAACCCTCACTCTCTGGAGTGGTGCGTACCCTCTCGCCGAGCTTGGAATCGAACTTGTGGAAGATGAGGTGCGGGAACTGCTGCGAGACGGTGCTCCTTTCCTTGAGGTCGTGGCGGAGAACAGCGTTCATGATGCCAAAGTAGGCCGTGGGGCCGTAGGGAAGATGGCAGACCACGAGGCCGTCGGGTTCGCCTCGGTGCTCGTGCACCAGCACGAGGTCGGTCACTTCGTTGGCTCGGCACGTCTCGACGAGCTGCTTGAGCACGTAGTTACCGCGGTTCAGTTTCTGTGCATTGGGGAACACCAGACGCAGCTCCTTGACGAACTGGTTGAGGCGAGAGGAGGGATCGCGCGAAGTGGTGATGACAAGCTTCGGATCTCTGATGCCGGCACGCGCGTACTCGTCATCGATGCTCTCTGAGCGATGTGAAAGTAGCAGAATGAATTTCAGATTATTTTTCTTATGGAGCACTAGGCAGGGAGGAGGGTGCGCACGTTCAAACTTGGCGGGATCATCATAAGGCATCCTCTCACGCAGCTCCTCCTGCTCCTTCAGCAAATCAGAAGGAATGTTTCGGCCGGCTGTACGAATGGGGAGAGATGTGAGGACGAAATCGCGGAAACGAAAGACGAGATTAAAAGCAATTACCATCGATAGCCGTCTTTAATCGCTTCCTCTTCTCATAGAGCTCGCGTTCCGTGCCCTCGAGCTGCTTTTTGAACATATATTCCTTCCTCAAACGTGCATTACGGCGAATCTGCAAATTAACGATCTTATGTCAATCTAATGGCAGAACAGCACATGTGGCGCGCACGGTACCATGCTGTTTTGTTTATAGAGGGCTACCCTACGGCTCTGGTTGAATTAGATCAGATGCCGATTGCCAGAAGGAGTTTGCAATTTGCAGTTCTTTTATTCTTTTCTTTTTCCCCTTTGCCTAATGGGACGAAATTTCAGCAACCCGCCAGCAGCCACGTCAGCAGCTGAGCCGAACGAAGCTGAACCCAAGCTGCAAGGTTTCAGTTTGAGCATTGAAATGGAGGCCCAGAAGAAGAGGATTGTTCTGTTCGACGTGGATGGCACCCTCGTCAAGCCCATGGGGGTACGCCATTATGATCCGGAAAAAGGCAAGAGATTGGACATTAATCACCGCGTGGTCTGTTCTGATGCTATGCAGCGAGTGACACCCGAGATGACCGTGTTCCTCGAGGATTTGCGCAAGATCCTCCCCACAGCTATCGTCGGCGGTTCCAACTTCGACAAGCAGAGGTACCAGATCGGCGAAGATGGTACCACTACACACACCCTACGACTCCACCCACCACGAGCCCGCTGGTCCCTTACGCTTCTCTCGGACCCACTTTGCGTGTGCGATCGTGCGTGCGCGGTCGTGGTGGTGGTGGTGCACAGTTCTGTCCCGGTTCGACTACGTGTTCTCTGAGAACGGCTTGGTGGCCTTCAAAGACGGACAGCCCCTCGGCATTGAGGTGCACAGCTCCTCCACCACCTTCTTATCTTTCTACACTCCCCCGCCAGGCTCGTTTTTTCACCACATGTGTGTGTTGTGTCGCTCGCCGCGAGCAGAGCATCAAGACCAAGTTCGGTGATGAGAAGATCAAGGAGTTCACCAAGTACGTGCTCACCCTCATCGCGTCGCTCGACATCCCCGTCATGCGGTACGTGTCTCTCTTCCCCCGCCCAACCCGCGCGTACGTACACATTCCACCCATTCCTTACCCCCTCACGTCCCCCTTGCTTGCACAGGGGCACGTTTATCGAGTTCCGCTCGGGCATGTGGAACATCTCTCCCATCGGCCGCAACTGCTCGCAGGAGGAGCGCGAGG